AGCAGAGGGAAGCAGCTCTCCTTTCATGAGGTTTGACATCAACACCGCCACTGATGAATTCTCAGTCACATCACAAACTTTCTGAGCTTCTGAAAACATCAGTGTGATTCTGCTTTCATCCAGACCATCAAAGATGAACACAACTTTACACTCCTCATAAATCTGTGAGTCCAGATCTTGAAGTTCAGGATGAAAGTCCAGCAGAAGTCTGTGAAGACTGTACTGATGATCTCGGATCAAGTTCAGCTCTCGAAATGGAAGCACAAACATGAAATCTACATCCTGATTGGCTTTTCCCTCGGCCCAGTCCAGAATGAACTTCTGCACAGAGACGGTTTTTCCGATTCCAGCGATGCCTAAAGTAAGAACAGTCTTGATCTGGTCTTTCTCTTCACATACTGCTTCAGGTGAAGTTTTAAAGATGTCATTGCAGTAGATTGGAGTATCTTGTGAGTGTTTTGTTCTGGCTGTTTTCTCCATCTGTAAAACCTCATGTTCTTCATTCACTCCTTCACTCTCTCCCTCTATGATGTAGAGCTGTGTGTAGATCCTGTTCAGCAGGGTTTCATTCTTTTGGAGTTCCATTCCCTCAAATAATCTCTCATATTTGTTCTTCATGCTGGTTTTGTGCTGGTCTTTGACTGTCTGCAGATCTACAGTCTCTAATGTGTCTCTCTGTAGGACAGTTTCAGTTCTTTCCTGCCTGTAGTGAGATGCCGAAAAATAAAAAAGAGCAACAAAAAGTCAATTATTGTCATTACAAAGAGTCATTGGAGTCACTGGAGACCACAAGACATACTGTATTTTCAACAATATCTATAATTTTAATAAGTGGAGCAGTTAGGGGGAGTAATTCAGGAACCACATCTTTATACTAACCAAATGTCAGAGGTCACGGTTCCATCACTGAATACAGGGGGTTGCATCAAGGACCTGTCACTCTTCACAGACACACCGGTGGGGTCTGGAGACACTGATCTCCTCCTGATACTTGCAAAAGACAAACTAAATAACATTGTGCACATACATATTACACATGCTTGCTACTGTCGCCTTTTGGCTTGCTTGTTTAGGGACGCTTGACATTTGGCAATACTATTGACTTGACTGCACATACACTGTTGGATGAGAACTGAACTAAGTTGAGCTGGATGATGACATCCAATGCACTGATTTCAACTGAATAATGTCTGATTACTTTTGTCATTTTTAGAGCTGCTGTAGAGTAGAATTGAATTTTGTTTGCATCATTTAATAACTAATTTCTTTTCTATATCTGCAAAGCTGCTTCAAACAATTTGTATTGTATAAAGCAATATAAAAATAAAGATGGCTAGACTTGAATTTGCATACGTTTTTCCAAAACAATTTACAAATAAGGAGTACAAAGAAATTCTGTAATACAAAGATCAATATTGTTCTCAAAAGTACATGAATATAAGGAAAAGTACAGAGAAAACATAAAAGCATCTGACAAATGCATATGTGGCTAGTAACTAACCTGGGGTCAGAGGTCAGTGTTCCACCACTAAATACAGGGGGTTGCATCAAGGATCTGCTGCTCTTCATAGACACACTACTGGGTTTTGTAGACTCTGGTCTCGGTCTTCTCCTCCTGGTGACACTGACAAAAGACAAACAAAAAGCTTTGTTCTTTGTTACTTTTAATAAGAAACATATTCTCCACTTTAAAATCTGTAAATTTTATCACGGAATACAAACTATACATGCTTTGATACTCTTTAATGAGGCATTCACTGTTTTGCCTCAGTTCAAGCAGGACATGAATCAATCATCTCTACCTCTTTGCTACTAATTACAGCAAAAATAAACATGAATGAACATCAGAAGGTGTTGAAGGAAACAGAAAAACTTACTGCAATACAACATATCTATATGTTTATATATGATTACATATATATGTAATCGTTCAATCACGGTTTCAACTACAGAAAGATGTCAATAAAACAGCTAGGGAACAATGTTGGGATCAGTTATCATAATAAAACACTTACCAAACAGTTTATGCACAAAATGTTTTCATCTATGGAAATAACCAGACTCACACAGACATCATTAATCAGCATATGAACCTCAACAATGGTGACCATTTAAAAAAAACTATAACTACTTATACAATATTATATATACATTTTATTAGGCTAACCGAGACTTGCCATTTGCACTTATATTTTGTTGCTCTTTTGTTAGTTTTGCCTGCTTTTATTGTCCTAATTTATAAGTCGCTTTGGATAAAAGCGTCTGCTGAAAGACTAAATAAATAAAATATATATATTTTTTTAACCGTTATCATTGTTGAGGTTCATCATATATTGACATCATCAATATATAACGATTAATTGGTTTTAACAAGCCACCAATAGAGGGCGATTAATTACCAGTAGAGACCCACAGTTTCCATTAAAACCAATACAAGTCCCATTGGAAACAGTAAAACCATTATAAATGTTGTAATGTGTCTATTGTTTTTTTTTTCTTCAGCAGGGAGAGCACACAAAATTAAACTCAACACCAAAACTAAACATCAAGAAAATGTTATGTCGTCTAATGAAGTAATAACTTTGTATTGACATTCACCACGCCATTACGCTATAAACACCACTTTCCAGAAACACAACATATAGTATTTAAAATGTGTAAGGGATAACCCATAGTTGCCATGGTTATTGCATGGCGTGGAGGCAAAGAACCACCCAACGTGAAGCGCACACACTTACTGTAGCATTAATCTAAATCAGGGTCAAACTCAGTTCCTGAGGGCCGGAGCTCAACCCTGCTCCAACACACAAACCGTGCAGTCATGAATGTCATGATCGGTGCCACTAGAGGGAGGGCAAAGCTTTGGTTTTTAAAAACCAAGGCGTCTTAACCAGGTGTCGCTTTACCTGGCCGTGGTGCTGCAACATAAACTCTGTGTCCTTCGTGTGTCAGTCGTCTCTCACTCCCAGCTCACAGCGGTCAGATGATCCAGACAGTACAGGACAGACTCTGACCGTGTCCCACAGAGAGATGACCTGCGCACAGACTCACAGAGACTCCAACAACACATCCATTCAGGACACGAGAGAGGAGTGCAGATGAACAATGAAAACAGACTGAAAGAAGAGAGGAGACGGTGTGACATCTGTCACAACTGTGAAAGGGTTCATTTCACTGATACAATATAATGAAGTCTGGTAGAATTAATCAATTTATTTTGAATTGAATAAATCCACATTTTAGGTTACTTGATAAAATGTTTTAACAAAACCCAAACACTGGAAAAAAAAAACACATACATTATATATACAGTGGGGCAAAAAAGTATTTAGTCAGCCACCAATTGTGCAAGTTCTCCCACTTAAAAAGATGAGAGAGGCCTGTAATTTTCATCATAGGTATACCTCAACTATGAGAGACAAAATGAGGAAAAAAATCCAGAAAATCACATTGTAGGATTTTTAAAGAATTAATTGGTAAATTCCTCAGTAAAATAAGTATTTGGTCACCTACAAACAAGCAAGATTTCTGGCTCTCACAGACCTGTAACAACTTCTTTAAGAGGCTCCTCTGTCCTCCACTCGTTACCTGTATTAATGGCATCTGTTTGAACTCGTTATCAGTATAAAAGACACCTGTCCACAACCTCAAACAGTCACACTCCAAACTCCACCATGGCCAAGACCAAAGAGCTGTCAAAGGACACCACAAACAAAATTGTAGACCTGCACCAGGATGGGAAGACTGAATCTGCAATAGGTAAACAGCTTGGTGTGAAGAAATCAACTGTGGGAGAAATTATTAGAAAATGGAAGACATACAAGACCACTGATAATCTCCCTCGATCTGGGGCTCCACGCAAGATCTCACCCCGTGGGGTCAAAATGATCACAAGAACTGTGAGCAAAAATCCCAGAACCACACGGAGGGACCTAGTGAATGACCTGCAGAGAGCTGGGACCAAAGTAACAAAGGCTACCATCAGTAACACACTGCACCGCCAGGGACTCAAATCCTGCAGTGACAGACGTGTCCCCCTGCTTAAGCCAGTACATGTCCAGGCCCATCTGAAGTTTGCTAGAGAGCATTTGGATGATCCAGAAGAGGATTGGGAGAATGTCATATGGTCAGATGAAACCAAAATAAAACTTTTTGGTAAAAACTCAACTTGTCATGTTTGGAGGAGAAAGAATGCTGAGTTGCATCCAAAGAACACCATACCTACTGTGAAGCATGGGGGTGGAAACATCATGCTTTGGGGCTGTTTTTCTGCAAAGGGACCAGACGACTGATCCGTGTAAACGAAAGAATGAATGGGGCCATGTATCGTGAGATTTTGAGTGAAAACCTCCTTCCATCAGCAAGGGCACTGAAGATGAAACGTGGCTGGGTCTTTCAGCATGACAATGATCCCAAACACACCACCCGGGAAACGAAGGAGTGGCTTCGTAAGAAGCATTTCAAGGTCCTGGAGTGGCCTAGCCAGTCTCCAGATCTCAACCCCATAGAAAATCTTTGGAGGGAGTTAAAAATCCGTGTTGCCCAGCGACAGCCCCAAAACATTACTGCTCTAGAGGAGATCTGCATGGAGGAATGGGCCAAAATACCAGCAACAGTGTGTGAAAACCTTGTGAAGACTTACAGAAAAAGTTTGACCTCTGTCATTGCCAACAAAAGGTGTATATAACAAAGTATTGAGATGAAATTGTGTTATTGACCAAATACTTATTTTCCACCATAATTCTTTAAAAATCCTACAATGTGATTTTCTGAATTTTTTTTCTCATTTTGTCTCTCATAGTTGAGGTATACCTAAGATGAAA